GAGGTGAATGTTCAGTCATTGATCAGGAGGTGAATGTTCAGTCATTGCACAATGCTTCACTAAACTGTAAATACATTTTGGTCTCTATTTTATTTTATTTTAATCTGGATTGTATATTTAATGAGATTCAAAGTTCTAAATCTAAAAAAATCAATTAGATTTTAAAAAGTAGAAAAAACATCATTTTAAATCATTTAAAAATATATTACATTGAATAATACTGTGTGCATGTCCAGTCAGCAAAACGTAATTTGTGTCTCGACCTTCTGCATCAGTTTCAGCATCGAGTCTCTTCAGGTCCTTCTCCATGGAGGTCCATCTAAACTGGACTGTTCGTTCTTCGTGACCACGTCTCCAGCACCTTCAGGTTAGATGATGCTACTTGTATAAAACAGTTAGGATATCCACATTGCTCTAGAGCCTGTCTTGTGTGACAGACAGCGTCCCCACTAGCTCAGGAGCCAGGCAGAAGGAGAAATCCCACACAAGACAGGCTCTAGAGCAATGTGGATATCCTAACTGGGCCTTCCTGAAAGCAGAGAAGAAACCCAAACAGGACTCCAGTCAGCCAACAGGTGAAAAGGAGGAACCCAGACCCAGACCAGTGGTCATTCCGTATGTTGAGGGAGTATCAGAGAAACTGAGACGTTTATTTTCTAAACATAACGTCCCAGTGGCTTTTAAACCCCAAAATACATTAAAGACTGGTTCATCCCAAAGATCCAGTCCCCCGGCACAAACAGAGTAATGTTGTGTATGTTGTTCAGTGTCAGGAGGGTGATCAGTCTTACATCGGGGAAACAAAACAGCCACTGGCCAAAAGGATGGACCAGCACAGAAGATCAACATCATCAGGCCAGGATTCTGCGGTCTACACTCATCTCCAGGCCAGAGGTCACTCTTTCAAGGATGAAGATGTTCACATCCTGGACAGAGAGGAACGATGGTTTGAGAGAGGAGTAAAGGAGGCCATCTTTGTGAAAAGAAACCGTCCATCATTAAACAGAGGCGGAGCCTCCAGGTTCAACTGTCCCCCTCTTACAATGCTGTGATTGCTAGTATCACTCAGCCCTCTGTGAACAGTAAACAGCCATCAGGTGCTAATGATCCATTGTTAGGCTGATGGTCCTTCTTGAGCATGTGATCAGCTGGTTCTGGTTGTCAGCAGCAAAACTGGTTGATCCACTCTGAGAAGGTGCTATTTAAGAGACTGAGCTGAATACAGCACCTCAGACTGAGGAAGTCTCTCGGATGAGAGACGAAACGTTTCTACCTTTTTTTGTTGATTTGCTTTGTTTTTTTGTTTTTTTTGAATGTCCAGAGGACCAGATTCAACTTTTTTACACCTTCTTGCATGTTCGGGTTAATCAACAAGTCCACACAGTCAAGATTTCTGTAAAACTTTAATCAGTTGTCAGATGTCCCAGCTTTTCACCAGCATTTCCAGTGTCCAACCATCACTGCACCACACTCCTCCCTTCGTTCCCAGTTGCTCACAGAGAGGTCCATGAAAAATAACACGTGGTCGCCAATCTCCTGAAACGTTACCAGTCCTACACCTTCTGACTGCTTCTTCTTCTTTTCCCTCTGCAGGGGTCTCCACAGAACCATCCTCCTACGAATAATACTAATACTTCTAGTAGTAGTACTAGTACCATTAGTAGTACCTGTAGTATTAGTACAAGTTTTAGTAATAGTACTAGTATTTTAATATTACTGATGTAATGGGAGTACTTTTACTAGTACTATTACTATACCGATACTGTTAGTATTACTATACTTGCACTAGCAGCGCTGGTAGTATTACTATACT